TCACATTACAATTTTGGATCTTGTTTGAAGTGCTTAAGGATGCAATATCTCAATATTCCTACCTACAGCAAGGTAGGTCAATAATGAATATTTAGACATTTGCATTCCCTCCTTCCTTGCCTTGCTTATGTTTTAAAAAGCCCTTTCTTTCCCACTTCTTGCTTAAAATTGAAGAAAAAAAGATTTAGCCCATCTAAACATGTGCTATAAGTCCATTTCTAGTTAGGGGCATGTTCAGATCAATCAAGCCAGCATGTCCTCTTTGGGGGGATTTCAAAATGAAGGTTTCCAAGATAGCACTAGCCATGGAGGCTGTCAGAAGAAACAACTTGGCCCTATTGCCTGCCTTCCAACATTTGAATCCTCTCTCTATCCTTAGAGGGAAAATCTGAGGAATCAAATGGGCCATGAATCAACAATCTCAAGACTGAATCTCCCCAGCATAAGCAATGAAAACTGGATACCATCTTCAAAAAGTCAACAGATTGACTCTATTTTTCCCTATGATGAAAAAGTGTTGGGGAAGATAGTCTGTGGGACACATCTATAGAAGACAATGCCTCCACTACAGAGGCATACTACTGAAAGCACCAAATTTCTTGTGTGTCTAACCACACCAAATAAAGTATTGGTGTGATTAGACACCAAATAAAGTGGCCAAATAACAGTATTCAATTTAATTCATAATTAGGAGAGCTAGGTTTCAATGGATTTTAGAGTACATTTTGAAAGCCAAATAGTCCATTGCCCCAAGAACTGAAAGGGGAAAAAAAGAAGAAAACTCACTGTCTTAGAATGTCAATGAAAAAAGCAAAATACTTTTCAGTGAGAGAGAGCTCTGTAATAATTGAGACAAGTGGACAGCAGGGATTTGAAATTGCATTATTACTGCATAATGTATCTTCATAGCAATAATTTTAAAGATCTAGAATGGTACCATCTGTCTCAAAGTCTCAGGGCTGATTTCTTATGCAAAGCTAGCCTACAAAGACCTCAAGGACCAGGCAGATCATCCTGCAGAAAATCTATCTGGTGGCTAAGGGTCAATATTAATTTCATGCCACATAATCAATCAATCAGCCAATGTTAGCTGATGGAGCCTGGTTTGATCAGTTGCAGAGCTACACAATCCCCATCAGTGCAGCTTAATCTCCCAAGTAGAAATATTATTAAAAAATAGATACTTTTAGTCCATGGGAATGTGTGCATCTGTATCCTTCAGAGTAAATGAAGATGTCTCAGAGGAAACCTAGGGTTAGGTTTCTTTGATTAAAGCAGACCACTTAACAGACAATTAAGTTTTGAAGTGCAGTCCTGGGGGAGGGGTGATCAGTTAACATTCTTTCCACTATCATAGGCATGAATAAAATCATTCCACTGAATCTACCATCAGTCATGGAAAGGGGAAAAGGACCTACAGTAATACAAATATTGTCTTCTTCCCACTCCAGGTTCCAACTAAATTCGAAGGATGTCTGATTAAAAGGTGGTTAAATCAGGGTTCGTTATGTTATGTCAGGGGTGTCAAACTCAATTTCATTGAGAGCCGCATCAGCATTGCGGTTGTCCTGGGGGGGGGGGCTGGGTAGGTGTGGCCAGGGTGGGCACGGCCTACTGGGTGGGCATGGCTGGAATGGGTGTGGCCTACTAGGTGGGCATGGCCAGCTCTACATCATTCGCGTCAAGGCTGCCTGTGGGGGCCTGGGCAGGAGTGGGACAGATCTGAGGGTCTCTGGCAGAAGGGGGTGGGACCGGGGCAAGCGCCAAGGCATGGTCCACTGGAAGAGCTTACTGAAACCCCTTTCCCAGAGCCCATCAAGCCAGATAGATGAAGTAGGTGAGGGCCATTTGCTGGCCACTTCCAGGTGATGGTGCATTTCTTCATTCCTCACAAAGGGTGACACCTCCCCAGCATGTACCCAGGGGGTGGGGCCGACGTGGCAGGGGCCGGTCCCTTGCTATTTCCAGACGGCCTTGTGGAGCTAAGACTGAATGGTTTCAGCATAGATGGCCACCACAAAATTGTACATTGGCTCCCGGCCAGCCTGAACCAGGGCTGAGGCAGCAGGGGCCGTTCCCTCACTGTTTCCAGGATGGCTTCGTGTGCCACATGAAACCATGTCGTGGGCTGCATCTGGCCCCTGGGCCTTGTGTTTGACATGTCTGTGTTATGTGGTAGGCATACTGTTGTTAATGACTGGCTGAGTGGACAAGCCTTATTACAAAAAATAGAGGATTTAGCGAGATACAAAATAGAGCTTTATCAGAAAGTTATCTGCTTCTCCTCTGCCCCTTCCTGCAGAAGATTCTCTTTATACCTCTGTTTTCATTCCTTTTTTTCCACAAATGAGCAGACTTTCAAACTGCAACCCCTTTCATTTTTTATTGAAGAAATCAAGACTTATCACTTGAGGGCCAGTTTAGTCTAGTGGCTAAGGTAGCAGGCTAGAAACTGTGAGGCCGTGAATTCTAGTCCTGATTTAGCCATGAAAGCCCACTGGGTAACTTTGGGTCAGTCACTCTCTCTCAGTCCAACCCACTTTACAGGGTTGTTGTTGGGAGGAAATGGGAAGAGGAAGATGCGTTGAATATGTGTGTTGCCTTGAGTTATTTGCAAACATAATAAAGGTGGGATATAAACAAACAAATAAATAAAACCAGGCTGAAATTATCATACTTTGGACATATTATGCAAAGATCCAGTTAGTTCCCTTGAGAAATCCACAAACCCGGGAAAGGTGAAAGGAAAGAAGAGGATAGAGAGAAAGCATGGTGGAGGGACAAGATGCAATGGGTACATCACTGGAAAACTTGTAGAGGCAGCCTGGAGACAGATGATCCTGAAGAAGATCTCTCTATGTGGTTGATGAGAGTCAACATCAACTTGATGGCACCAATCATCTATCTTTCTCCTTTCCTCAGAGTTTGAAATTCATTTGGGTTCCAGAGGCATTTTTGGAAATAATAAATATGCTGACTGTTTTTGCTTTGCTACATATCAAATAATAAATATGCTTTGCTACATATCAAATAATAAATATGCTGACTGTTTTTGCTTTGCTACATATCAAATAATAAATATGCTTTGCTACATATCAAATAATAAATATGCTGACTGTTTTTGCTTTGCTACATATCAACTCTCCTCTCCTTTTCTTCAGTGTAGTTAGGTGAGAGACAGAGTCAGGCAAGTACCAAGGAGCTGTATATGAACACCATACTGCACCCAAGTGCCACAGTGGGAACTCACATCAGGTAAATAGTGGCAGGAGGAAAGGGAAAGCTCTCATCCCATCCTCCAACTTCCAGTGTCTCAATCTCATTTTTAGCTCACAATTGCTTTTAATCCCCCTCACTTCCCAAAGATGTCACATAAAATATTGAAAGACCTCTAATTCCCAGCAGCCAGTCCTGCAAGTAAAAAGACTCTTTTAGAGAGATCAGCTGCACACCAGAAGTGGTCTTGGAACGCTATGTTATGTGGGGAAAAATACCAGTGAAAAGAAGCAGGCAAAATAGTCTAGTTTAGAAAGTAATAACTTCTACACAAACTTTTCAAGGCAGGTTTATATGCGCATTTAAAATATCATTTCCATTAGTATAATGATTGCTAACAAGATAAAATGAACCATATAACCATATTACTCCGCAATTATTTTTGTTGGGAATTATTATAGATTTTGATGTTAAAGAAATTAATTTGAAGTTGAATCTTATAACAGCTGCAAGATTATTGGTGGGGCAATATTAGAAGAAAAACTTACTGCCTACTTTGGAAGAATGGATACTTAAGGTGTCTAATTTAGCAGAAATAGCGAAAATCTCCACCTATTTGAAGGACTACTCACAAGAAAGATACATTATGGTTTGGAGAAAATAGATTCATTATATTCAAAAGAAATATGAAACTGAAAAGTATTACCTTGCTTTTGAGTAGATTTTAGATAATTATTAATAGTTTTAATTATATTATTATTTTTGTTTTAATTGGTTAATATTTGTTTTGAGAAGGAGTTAAAGTGTGTTATGGTTTTGATTGATAGTATAGTTGGTTTATGTTAGTTAGATTATGTTTGTTTATTTGTTACCCTGTAATCAGCTCTGGGAAGTGGGGGAGGGGGAAGGGTTGAGGGGTGGGGGGTTATATTGTAATAAAATTGTAAAACTTTTAATAAAAAAATTGACCATATAAGCTTTTGCTAAAATTAAGTCTTAACTTTAATACCCTTCTCAAATATCATCATATTGTTTTTGTTGTTTCTATACCTCTTCTGCTTCTTGTTAGAGGCTGTGTATTTAGTACCTTTGATACCTAAAAGTCTGTACTTTTAACTTTATAGTACATGATTCCAGGTTCCTATTAGGACTTATAACTTAAATTGTAACATATATAAACACAATCCTCACTATCACCATAGAAACCGTTATGGACACATATTAATGCTTTTTCAAACTTTCTTGCTCTTTGGTTGAAAAGTGATTGATGAACATGAAAATAAAATAATTTTCTTCATCAGAAGACCACCATGAGAGCAGATTCTGACGCTAAGGGCTTTGAGTCCTTTTATTTCAGAGAAAAAGATGAGCTTTTGAGGGGCAGACTTAATAAACCAACTATTGCATAGCTTTGATATGAAAAGTCATACAGTAAAACCACACAGGTGAAGGAACTGAACATACACACTGCATTTCATAAGCAAAGAAAAATAAACTTCTAATTTTCTAATTAAATAAAACCTTCCCGAGAAGCCACATCCAGCACCACTTTCCCAGTCCACCCGCTAGCGATGCAGAAATGTAAATACTAACGAGCTGAAGTAACAGCACGATTAACGGATGGGTAACCCCAGACATTTGTCAAGCAAAGCTGGATCGGATGCCTTCCTAACGGCGCCGTCTTCGGGACGAAGCGAGGACACGACAGGCGGCTGAGATGAGCTGCGGCTCTCCAGGAAAAGCGGGTCACTTCCAGCCGCTCGCCCGCCCGCCCGCCCCCACGATCAATGGCTGAGGAGACTCTGACAGTCAGGCGCCGTGGACCTGCGAAGCAGCGGGCGGCCTCTCGTCGCCGAAGGCTCCTTTTTCGCTTCTGAGCCATCCGCTTCTTCTTCTGCTCCTCCTCCTCCTCCTTCCTCTCCTTGGAATCTCTGCTCCTGCTCGTCTAGTGGGAGCTGTCGCTCTCTGACCGCCTGAAGCGGGGGAGAAGCAGCTGACGCGGCCCCGTCCTTGTCTCCGGCCTGCGACGACTGCGGCGGCTCCGGGAAGATGAGGAGCAAAGCGCCGGCGGAGCGCAGGGCGCGCACGCACTGGTGGTGGCCCCCGCTGGCGGCCAGCTGGAGCGCGGTGTGGCCGGCGCGGTCGGCGCGCTCAAGGCGGAGTTGCCCGAAGCGGCGGAAGGCGCGCAGGAGCCACTCGACCACCGCCGTCCGCCCTTCCGAGGAGGCGTACATGAGGGGGCTCCAGCCGCGCCCGTCCACCGTGTCTGGGTCGGCGCCCCACTGAACCAGCAGCTTGGTGACCTCCAAATAACCGCGCTCGCAGGCCAAACTGAGGGCGCTGCGCCCGGCGTCGTCGCTCAGGTTGACAGCGGCGCGATGCTCCAGCAACAGTCGCGCGAAGGCCAGTCGCCACGCCGGGTCCTTCAGCAGCACGGCGTACATGAGCGGCGAACGGCCCCGGTCTGATCGGCAATCCACAATAGTCCCATCGACGGCATCCAGGACAAAGCGCGCCAGATGCATCCGGCCTGCCCTCATGGCCTCCAGGAAAGTCTGCGTGGACGCCCCCGGGCCCAGGTCCCGCGGTTTCAGCATGGCCTCGCGCTGCTCTTGATCCCCCCTGGTTCGGTGCCTGCTGGTGACTCGAGGCGGCGGCTCTCCAGATCGGCTTTATAACCTCCCCTCAAGTCTCCATGACGATCGCCGCCTTTCCGCTCCGAGAGAGACAGATCCGTTAAGCGCTCGGGTTGGCGGGCTGGGGAGAGATGTCGTCCAAACTCCGAGATAGTCACGGACGGCAGGAGCTCCCCGCCCACCTGCTTTCGCCTGTCAGGTTGGGCGGGAAGCTTAATGCAAGTCCAGACGATTGACTGATTCCCTCCCCTTTTTTGCAACGGAATCCCGGACGATCTCTGCGTAATTAGGAGACGGTCTAAGTAAGAAGAAATAGAAATTCCTGAATGGTGGGGTAGTTTCCTCAGACTTTTTCAGGGCTCAGTTATACAGTATTGAGTAGGTAACATGACTTAGTTAGTAGAAGGCAGTTGTATCAATATGGCTACCAAATGTGGCTAAAGAAATTGGCAGGATCACTGCCTGGCAGCAGATGCTTTTCTCCTTGCTTCCCTCTTATGACTTTTTGGATTTTTGCAGCTCTGGTCTGTTAGCCTATATAACCATACTGTATTTAATTACAGGTAGTCCTCGACTTATGACCACAATTGAACTGAAAATTGATGTTGCTAAGTGAGGAATTTGTTAAGTGAGTTTGCCCTATTATATGACTTTTCTTGCCAGAGTTGTTAAGTGAATCACAACAACTTAATCAAGTTAGTAAAATGATTATTAAGTGAATCTGACTTCCCCATTGACTTTGCTTGTCAGAAGGTTGCAAAAGGGGATCACAGGACCTTGGGACACTGTAACTGTCATTAAATATGAACCAGTTGTCAAGCATCCAAATGTAAATCACATGACCATGGGGATGCTGCAATGGTCAATAAGTGTGAAAAATGGTCATAAGTCACTTTTTTCAGTGGCGTTATAACTTTGACTGATCACTGAATGAACTATTGTAAGTCGAGGACTACATGTACTTGGGATCTGGGATCTACCAAAAGTGGGTTTTTTTCCCCCTTTAATTCTCTCTGCGATGATCTTGCTACACTGGAGTGCTGGGCATTGAAATCTAGCATATCTGGAGGGCAATGCCTTGGAGGAAGCTTTTTTAATGTCATGTGAAAAAGCTATCTGGGGTATTTGACATAAGCTCTGATTGTCACATGATGGCTATGCATTTATGCCTTCAGCCTTTTTGTTGCATAGTTGTGTTGGAGGATAAGTTGTATATAAATATAGTACTCATGTGCAGTCCCCAGAAACCAGAGTGTGTTTTGATTTCTGCTTTTCACAGTGACAGATGGTAGCAGGACCAGTAAGTGCAACAAGCACCGTTTCCATGGTTTGAGATCATCCTGGTGGGTGTATTGCATCTCCTTTTGCTCTGCCAGGATATCCAGTGTCAATTCCTATGCAGATACCTTGCATATTTCCCATCAGTTTGGGCTTTGTTTCGTATAGGTACTGAAACCAGATACAGGATGGTATAGAACAGAGTCTTCAAACTTGGCAGCTTTAAGAAGTGGACTTCAACTCCCAGAATTCCCTAGCCAGCATGGCTGGTTGGGGAATTTTGGGAGTTGAGGTCCACAAGTCTTAAAGTTGCCAAGTTTGGAGTCCCCTGGTGTAGAAAGTGAGAAATCTATATCAACAACAATCTTCTCAAGATATACCCAGGATGTGCTGGAAATCTAGCAGTTGGCAATGGTCATATGAACAAAGCCAGCACACTAACCAACAACAGTGGGGTGCCCCAGGACTCTGTTCTGGGCCCAGTGCTCTTCAACAACTTCATCAATGATTTGGATGAGGGGATAGATGGGAAACTCATCAAATTTGCAGATGACACCAAGCTGGCAGGAATAGCCAACACTCCAGAAGACAGGCTTAAGATACAGAAGGATCTTGACAAACTTGAGCATTGGGGGCTATCTAACAAAATGAAATTCAATGGTGAAAAAAGTAAGGTTCTACATTTAGGCAAGAAAAACCAAATGCACAGGTATAGTAGGTGGTACCTTGCTCAACAGCAGTAACTGTGAGAAGGATCTCGGCATCCTAGTGGACAGTCACTTAAATATGAGCCAGCAATGTGCTGCAGCTGCCAAAAAAAAATCAACACAGTGCTAGTCTGCATTAACAGAGGGATAGAATCAAGATCACGTGAAATGTTAAAACCACTTTACAATGCCTTGGTAAGGCCACACTTGGAATACTGCATCCAGTTTTGGTCACCACAATGTAAAAAAGATGTTGAGACTCTAGAAAGAGTACAGACAAGAGCAACAAAGACAATTAGGGGACTGGAGGCTAAAACATATAAGGCACGGTTGCTGGAATTGGGTATGTCTAGTTTAATGAAGAGAAGGACAAGGGGGGACATGATATCAGTGTTCCAATATCTCGAGTTGCCATAAAGATTCTTACGATTTAGAAAATATATTTCTATTGATGCAGTTAAAATTGCATTTGTCTTAAAATAATAATAATAATAATAAAAAAAGAGTAAAAAAATTGCATTTGTCTTTTTCAAGCCATATCACATTGCTGATGTGTATTCTGTGACAACTAGAATTATAAACTTTTCATGTACTGTTGACTACATTTTAAGTGTGGTCTCATCCTGTACTTGTGTATTTTCTTAAACAATTTTTTTTTTGCATTTGCCTCTGCAAAATTTTATTTGCTGTTTTCAGACTACTTTGTTGACTTAGCAGGATAACTTTGAATGTCATTTCTGTATTCTAAAATTTTCAATTGTGAGTCTTCTTCAAATTGTCTAAGTTTTTCTTCCATCTCATCATCTGAATCATTAATAAAAATGTTGTAAAATACATAGCCTTGGGATGAACCTTGTGACACCTTGCTTGATAGCTCCCTCCAATTTGATAACGAGCTGAAGAGAAGCACTGTTTGAATATTTATTTATTTAATGTATGTATGCATGCATGTATGTTTCTACACAGCCCATTCTTGGCATAGTTTGTCCACAAATCCACTTGAAGATTAGTTGTTATACTTCTAACTTGTATCTATGTTCTGTAGCTTGTTAACCAGAAGCTCATAGGGAACTGAATGTCACATTCTCCCACATCTTATTTTGGGTCTAATCCAACAGTTCTTTGTATCTTAATTAATTTGAGATGAATACTGTTCTTTTAGCCTTATTTGTAATTACTGTAATAAGTATCATCACACCATCTTTTTAGAAAAATTGAAAACCTCTTTCACATGATTAGTACTCGGCTGATCTTGTCTACATGAGGAGGCTAAATAGGATTAGTCCTAATTAATAGTTAGCTGAGAGACCAGCACAGAATTCAAGACTATAGAACAGACTAAGACGTTGAATTATATCCCAGAAGAAGCCAGTGGCAAACTACCTCTTTACTGTTGCCAACAATTGTTGCCTGATTTTATCCATGAGTCATCTAGAGATAACTGCATGGGAATCCCAAGACTCAAGGGAGACTTTACTAATCACCATAGAGAAAGGATGGCAAAAGGAAAGGATCCTCTGAATGTTTTGTGGATAAATGTCTATGCTCTTTTACAGACCTCTAATTATTCACAATAGGAATTATTTATATTTTATAGGCCACCATTAAATAATAGCTTCACAACTTCAGGTAGCATTCAGATGGTTCTAAATATAAATTGGTAACAGTGGCCTTTATAGCATATCCTTCTCTGATTATTTGCATGATTATTTCTTTCATCATGAATATTGCAATAAGTCTGACGAAATGCCTAAGTGTGGTGATAAAATAACAGACTGACACCAGCTGCGTCTTTGCAATTCACATCAACGCTTTAATGACCTAGCCTTCACAAGTCTTTCATACTGACATACACACTTCAATTTGCTTTCTTTACTGAGTGTTGAAGAGCATATAACACCTATAATTTTGATTTTAACCAATACTTCGTAATAAATTCTAATATAGTTTATTAATTCAGCTATAGAGTGGTAATCCCTCCCACCCACCATTTGCTATGTTGTGATGATTACTCTAGTTGTTATTGTTATCCTCCTGGGATGAAGTTAGTCTCTTGTTCTTGATTTTCCATGTGATCTGACAATTCCCAGATGATAAAAGATTAAATACGTTCCTATCTTGCTTCAAAGCATTTGAAACCCAATGGAGTACTAATTATGGCTCATGAAACCAATATTCTTTTCCTACCTACTACCTATTACTGAAGGGATGGGAAACATGTTGCTGAACGACAGCCTTGGCATTTCCCACAGTTTGGCTGTCTGTTTAAACCTCTTAACCCAGCAGTATTTGAAGAACCCTAGTTCTCCACTGTTCCTGTATAGAATTTGAAATTATGAACGGTAGGAATTACATAGAGAGAAAAGAAAGTTTGCCAGTAAAACATAAAGCAGGGAATGCTTTTCTTTCTCCAGGAGGCTTGTAACCTGGTACAAATTCCTGTCCAGGTATTTAATAGGTGGAGGAGGCAGTGGTTAATATAGTAATAAAAAAAACAAACTGCTTTAAATAAAAAATGTATTCCATCACATACACACACACACAGAGAGAGAGAGAGAGACCTCAACTTACAATAGTTCATCTAGACACCATTCAAAGTTACAACAGCTCTTAAAAGAGAGACTTATGACCATTTTTCATCCTTACGACCATTGCAGCATCCCAATGGTCACGTGATCAAAATTCAGAAGCTTGGCAACTGACTCATATTTATGACAGTTGTAGTGATTTCCTTTTGTCACCTTTTGGCAAGCAAAGTCAGTGGGGAAGCCAGATTCACTTTAACAACCATATCATAAAAAGGGGCAAAACTTACTTAACAAATGTTTCACTTAGCAACATAAATTTGGGGGTCAATTATGGTTATAACTCAACTACCTGTACTAACTTAACAATTGCAGTGATTCACTTAACTGTGGCAAGAAAGGTCATAAAATGGGGCAAAAAATCACTTAACAACTTAGCAGTTGAAATGTTGGGCTCCATTGTGGTCATAAGTCAATACATACAAACTTATACATGCAAACACACACACACACACACACACACACACACACACACGCAGGTCTTTGGTTATTCAGGTTTTCTCCCGCGTAAAATTGAAAGTGTCTTGACGACGTTTCGACGAAGTCCCATTCGTCAAGCTGGTGCTTTCAGCTTCGTGCTTCTAGGAGCCTGAAGATGACGAATGGGACTTTGTTGAAATGTCGCCAAGACACTTCCAATTTTATGCGGGAGAAAACCCGAATAACCGAAGACCTACATACAAACACCCACGAAAACCTCAGAA